TTCTGAATATATTTTTAACGTTAAATCTATCTTGAGATATGATTAAACAAAAATTTGTTTTAATAGGAGCAATAAGTTGCTTGAACAAACAACTGGCAATGACAATTTTAATATGAGAGTTCATTAATAAGAGAGATAAAATGAACTCGGAGACGCGACAGTCTGGATTAAAAAAAAATTCGGTTCAGTAACCGCTTTTCAGTTACAGCTTCGTACGTTGAAGTATCAACATTATATTATCATTTTTATCTCACCTGTGCGTAAAAAAGAAATTTACACACTAAAGCACAATTACATATAGGTACACGTGAGATTCACGTGGATTAAAAAAATCTGTTTATTGTTAACGCTGCCAGTCATCAACCTCAAAAGAATGTCGGATGTTTCAATTCATTGATAGTCGCCAGAATTATCGAGAAAGATTATTGCGCCAAGAGATTAAAAATATACCACAAGCACACGGAAAAGTGATAATAACACTAAAGCGAGAAGTGTTTTTCCTTCGCGGCTCAATCGCGATGCGTGCGATCGTAGTTTAGACGCGAGACTAAGTACAATACATACATATTTCTATGTTGCAACATTATCGCCGCGCTAGTGATATCACTTCGGAAAAAAAATCATTTTCTAGGAAATCATTAATTAGGCGAGGAAGTATAGATAGCGAAAAGCATAAGACAAAGTCGAAAAAAATATAAACCCATGCTGATCGCTGACGTGTTACACATTTCGAGCGAAGACAAGGAGATGATAAGAACAGCGAGTCACTTCGCATATAATTACCGCGTACATGGCTTTATTGTCTCATATCGCAACATAACTTAAATATGCGGCGATAAAGATACGAGTTCTTCTTCGTTTTGCTTTGCAGTGTATTTATACAGGCATGCTTCGACAAGCTGTTAAATTTCAATTTGAAAAAATTAATTAGCGACTTTTGCTATTCTGCGACTAATCGGAAGACTAAACTATTCGCGATAATATATATATATCAGATTATTAAATTATTTAATTAGTCAAATAAAATTTATTGAGGACAAATTTTGCAAAGTGTCTGCCATAGATATGTGTATTATCAGTAAAATTCAAGACAATAGAATTTGTGCGTAATAGCCTTGTTGAAAATTCTTGTACCAGATCTTAAAATAGTTGTGTGTGATTAATCAAGATTACTAATAATAAACGTACATGATTATATAAGAATCTTATATAATTTGTTTATTTGTGATTCACCAGTAATCTTTAATGATCTTAGAAATCTGGAATGAATCATACACCACGATTTATATCGCAAAAATAAATTCTTTTAAATCCCATGCAACTCCTTGCTTGTCCTATTCCATTTTATTTACTGGGATACGAGTAATAAATAAACAAATTCTAATAATATAATTGTACATTATACGTACAAACGTCTTTTAACATTCTGCATTATCATTATATAAGACTTTATATATAAGATCAGAAGAAACGTAATTAGTTAAAAAAAAATCAGTATCCACTAAATCTATCAGATAAACTACAATAAAACAAGCAATCGAGAGATTCTTTATAATTTATTTATTGATAAGTAAAATTACATATATATATCCACAAACACAATACGTTCTTTTCACGGGGTGTAATAATGCGTTAAAACTTGTGAGCGGCGAGGAGAAATACCTGCGAAGGAGAAAGAGGGACGAGGAGAGTTTGCTTTTGTCTTAAGTCTTTCGACACTGCCCCCCCCCCTCTCCCTTGTGTCTCTCACGAACAACAGCAAACCATGGCATTTGTCAATAATAAAAAAAGAGAAAATTCCAAAAGGTTTGCAATGCAGGAATAAATTAAGAAAGCTAGATTAGAAATCGGTCTTCAATACGATATAAAATCATATCAATGAAGTAAAAACAAATTACAAACTCGTTTCATTCTTGGACTCTTTGACTCCTGAAAATCCTTTCAGAAATCGAAAAATCTGTCCGCTGCATACGTGCACGTTAATATTTTTTAAATAAAATATACATGACAAACATTTAAATAAAATATACGTGTATAAAATATACATGACTGAAGAACATGTAATTCATTATAAATGTATATACGATGTGTCAATTATTTAAAATACGAAATCATTTATTATGCAAGATAAATTCTTTGCATAATAATGCAATTTAAATTCTAACAATATGCTGCATACTCTCACAGAACGATCGTTTGTAGAAGATCTTTTTGATTGACACGATTTGGGCTCTAGATATAATTAAACGTTTTCTCTACGGATTGCCATTGTTCAGAAAGAGAAAGCGAAACCTTTCGCACATATTGATATTTTCATCAGAGTTTGGAATTTTTAATACGCTATGATAAAAACGTAACGGAGGCAATTAGTTGCCTTTGCGCCACGCACTGTCTTCGTCTATGTCTATTTTATACGGCCGTATCATTAATGATACGAAGGAACGTAATAAATTTCATTTCGCAGTTAACTTATCTTTCAATAGCGGAAGTTAAACCGGATTCTGGATTTCCGATTCGTGGGGCAAGCCCGGATTAATAATAGAGTTATGATCGCGTTGCGCAAAGGTCAACGAACATAACGTTTTTCAGAATCGAAGATAATAGTGCGAGGACACGTAATCGTGTTGCTCGATAAACTGTCCGAAGACGAGAGGATGATGCGAGAAGACACCGAAAAAACTGTAAAAATAAAGTCCAGTTTTTAGTATCATTATTATACTCTTTCTCCGTCTCTGGACTCGCTAATCTCTGGACTGCGACTTGAAGGACGTATATTTCTTTTTTTTTCTTCTCCTTCACGTCTCACATGGCTTTTAAGCTAAGTTTCAGTTATCTCG